TTGGGGGCCCTTCGTCTTCGACGCGAGGGTGCAAAAAGCTCAAGGGTACAAAAAACCGAGGGTATGGAAAAAAACGGGAGTCTGACACTACCTCGGGGGTAAAACACATGTTTTTGTTCTTGACAAACAACAAAAAACCAAAAACGTCTGGGCTGGTATATACCCTCGTTGCTGTGTAGCGTCGGGTGTTTGTTTGATTCCTTCGGTTTCCCCCATCGATGGATCGAAAATACCTCGCGTTGGTTGTACACCCTTGTGGTTTCATTACATCGGTTGTTTAGTCCTTCGGTTTTGTATATCGCCTCGAGAAATGGGAATCATGTTTTTTTCTTATATCCTCGGGTTCTTTATATTGTCGGCTTTCCCCAACCATCCTGTGGTGTTGGGTCCTCGGTTTGAAGAGACTGCGCCTCGCGTTCTCTTTCGTCCTTCCTCCTCCCCCTCCTCCCTTCTCCCATCATCACCATCATCAGCATCATCATCATCATCCTCATCAGCATCATCATCATCGTCATCGTCATCGTCAGCGTCATCATCGTCATCATCGTCCACGTCATCATCATCACCAGCATCATCGTCGTCATCAGCAGACTCATCATCATGGCTGTCATCATCACCATCATCGTCATCACCGCCGTCATGGTCACCATCATCGCCGTCAGCTTCGGCGTGCTGCTTACACGCTTCGTGGCTCCATAGGGAGCTCCAGTTAAGGTCCCAGTGGCACCGTCCGCATGTGGGCGTCAGCCCCGTTTCGACACACCCCTCACACGCTTCGTGGCTCCACAGGGAGCTCCAGCTGAGGCCCCAGTGGCACCGTCCGCATGTGGGCGTCACCCCCGATTCGGCACACCCCTCACACGTTTCGTGGCCCCAAAGGGAGCTCCAGCTGAGGCCTCAGTGGCACCGTCCGCATGCGTCCGCCACGCCCATTTCGGCACACCCCTAATTCGTTCCGTGGCCCCAAAGGGAGCTCCACCGAAGGCCTCAGTGGCCGGGCCCGCATGCGTCGCACCACACAGTCCTGCACCCTCACACGCTGTGTGGCCCCTCAGGGAGCTCCACCGAAGCCCCGGGGCTCGCTCGCACGCAGAATCATTAACAATCAGACTCACTCGCGCTCAGACTCACCCGCGCTCGGTCTCTCGTACTCAGACCTGTCGGCTTCGTTCGCGCTGTGTACCCCGCCACGCATGTCGGCACACACCTCACATGTTTCGTGGCCTCATGGGGAGCGCCACCGAAGACTATCTTCAGAACTGCGGTACTCACAGCTGCATATGGTTGGGTCCTTCGCCAGGCTAATTGTTATAACCTCGGGTCTTTAACCCCCTCGAGAGATCGCCGACACGACGAGCTCTCCCAACGGGGGGGGCAAGGAAGCACAGCTCCCCGGCTGTGGCTGGCCGGCTCCTCCCAGAGGCCAGGATCCGGCTTTTTCCATCGCGTCGCACCGCCAGCGGCACGAAAGCTCTCTGACCTATCCCAGGTCCCCTCGCCCTGCAAAACAAAAACAAGACTGGAGGTTTTGCGCTGTCTTCGGCCTCCAGGGGCCCATGGGGGGCCTCGGGGCCGTCAAATAATTATTCAGGATGAGAAAACGGTCCTGGGCAAGCGGTCCAGACCTTTTGGGGTCTTTAATTATATATGTATATATATATATATATACATATATATATATATATGCATATACACATAGTCGCCAGGGGTGGGCCTAGGTCTCTGAGCTGTCATGAGGGCACCTTGGCGCCTGGTGGCAAGCATCTGGACGCTTGCGGCTTCTTACATGTGCAGCCCAGAGCCGTGTGGTTTCACCATGGTTGGCTCCACGAGTTTACGCTCCAGCTGGCGTTCATCCGTAGTCGTTGTTTCACCGTCCCGGGGCCGGGGACAGGCCTCCAGAGTCCATGGTCCTCAGGACGCGTTGCAGCCGCGTGTGTGTTTATCCAGTTCAGCTCCAGGGAGAGCAAGCAGCCTGTCCTGGCGCGATCACACGTTTGCACTAACACACGTTCGAGGATCATCGACGGAGGCAGAAGACGTCGAAAAGACAGCCGCCACGATTTTGCTGGCCTCGCTGAACCACGGACCCCTCGCGGCATCAGGGGCAACTTTAGGGGGGGATCGGCTGAGGGGGCCATGCATCGACCCCCTTCATCGCCACCTGGTCGCCGGTGGCGGGCCTGATGGCCCTCCCCCCCACGAGCGTGGAGGAAGAGGAGGAGGAGGAGGAGCAGGAGGAGGAGGAGGAGGAGGAGGTTTTGTTTTTCGTTTGGGCCTGGAGGGGACCGTCCCCCCCTCGTCGTTCCCCCGCGGGCCCACCCACCCCCCCGCGACATCGTCATCCTGCGCGAGAGGCCCCGACCGCCTCCCTGCCGGGCTTTTTTTTCCCCGCCGCCCCGGAATCCGCTTCTGAGGCACCCCTGGGGCCTGATAGCGGGCCCTCAGTGGCCGAAGTCGAGGAGAGATTTAAGTCGCGCGCGTCCTTCTACAGGAGGAATCTTCAAAAATAACAAAAAAATAATATCCAGGCAAAGGACCCAACCATACGCGAATGTGAGAACCGCAGGACGAAGCAAGGGGAATCCCCAATGGGGACGCGAACCGTGTGAGGGGTCCGCCAAATTTGGGCGGGGCCGCCATGCGAACCCTGCCACTGGGGCCTTCGGTGGAGCCCCCTATGAGGCCACGAACCGTGTGAGGGGTCCGCCAAAATGGAGCGGGGCCGCCATGCGAACCTTGCCACTGAGGCCTTCGGTGGAAATCCCTGTGGGGCCACGAACCGCGTGAGGGGTGCGCCACACTGGGGCTGGACCGCCATGCGAACCCTGCCACTAAAGCCTTTGGTGGAGCTCCCTATG